CCCCCCTCCTCTCCTCTTTCTCTCCCCCCACCCCCTTGAACTAAACAGAGGAGACAGGACGAGGTTTACCCGAGTTGGGCACAGAAGGGAGCTCCCAGCAGGTGACGGAGGGGGCAGGCTGCTTCTCCCACGGAGAGCCGGGCATCCTGGGGCAGAGGAGTGGGAGGGGAAGGCCTGCAGGGGGCGTCGGGTCACAGGGTCAGGGCTTCGGGAGCTGCTGGTGTGTTCGTGCTGGCTCCGGCAGCCCGTGTACGGTGTAGAACCGGGCTCGGACGGGCCTCGAGGTCCTGACCTTTCAGGTCTCCAGGCCTTTCCCCAGGCTCCTCTGGATGGATTTGAACCACCGGCCTGTCAGTCAGTAGTTGAGTGTTTTCCGGTCGGCGCCACCCAAGGTCTCCTTGGTAACAGTAGCCAGTGCCCCCCACGGGCCGGAGGACGCAGGAACAGCACTGTCCTCAGTTACACACGGGGCCTTACCCGGGACCACTGACCGGAAAGCGCAGCACCAGGGTTTGCGCCTGCGCAGCTGGCGGCTGACGCCCTTCAAGGGCGAGGTGCAGGGAGCCGGGGCCTGTGGACCCCGAGGGCCCTGAGGGGGGAGGGGGGAGAGGCCCGTGGGCGACTCAGCCGGCCCCGCCCCTCCCCGCTGCAGGGAAGATGCTGATCCTGGGGTCCGTGTTCCACCTGACCGAGCCCGTGCTCACCATTGCCGCTGCCCTCAGCGTCCAGTCGCCCTTCACCCGCAGCGCCCAGAGCAACCCCGAGTGCGCGGCAGCCCGGCGGCCCCTGGAGAGCGACCAGGGAGACCCTTTCACGCTCTTCAACATCTTCAACTCCTGGGTGCAGGTGGGGCCGGCCACAGGGCGCCTGTCTGTCTGCTGTTCTTTGCGGCAGCAGGGCCGCTCTGAGGCCGCGGCTCCTCCCAAGGTGCCGCATCCCATGGGGAGGGTAACGGATCCCTCCGCAGGCCGGGCCTGTGCGAGGGGGACTGTCCACGGTTCACTCCCAGGGAACAGCGTGTGCGAAGGCCCAGGGTCAGAGGCACCTCCCTGGCTCGTGCCCTGAGCACCGATTAAAGCCAGTGCCACCTGCACAGAGTCCGGCCTAGGCTGGTGTCTCTCTGGCCAACCTATTTTCCCTGAGCCGCTGCTCTGAGCCTGACCCTGTGCTGGGCGGTGCTGGGGACTCACTAGTAGTGACCAAAACCACCCTGGCCCTGCCCTTGTGGGGCTCCTAGTCCGGTGGGGAAGGCAGACCTGTCCCGACAGTGACAGGCCTGGGAGAGCCCAGAGAGGGTGTCTGACTCAACCTGGGCAGTCAGGGAGGGCTTCCTGTAGGAGTGGACACGGAGCCTGAGACCTGGGGGGAGGAGGAGGAGAACAGGGGGTCCCTGGGGGAGGGTTCCACCTGCCTTGGCTCCTCCCAGTGCTGTTCACACTCCCGCCTTCAAGCCTGAGCTGGGTGGTCTGGGCGACAGGGCAGTGGCCAGAGCCAGCCAGGCCCTGACACCCTGGCATCTGCCCCCGCACCCAGGTGAAATCTGAACGGAGCAGCGACTCCCGCAAGTGGTGCCGCCGCCGGGGCATTGAAGAGCAGCGGCTCTATGAGATGGCCAACCTCCGGCGCCAGTTCAAGGTGTGTCGTGAGCTCGGGGCACAGGGTGGGGGAGGGGCCAGGGGGCACTGGGGCAGCAGTGAGGGGGGCACAGTCCGGAACGCTGTCTGTCCTCTGACAGTGGCAGGGCCAGAGTCCACCGCCGTGCCCCCCTCCCACCCAGATGGCCGGGGGTTAGGGATGGCCTGGGCCAAAGGCGTGGAGCTCCAGTAGGGCTTCCTGGGGGAGGGAAGCAGACAGGGCATGTTGCTGCACCCTCATGGAGAGCCCTGCCCTCTGGACCATGAGTGCGTGCTGGGGGGCAACTGAGGGGGATGGTTGGGGGCAGCAGAGTGGGGGGAGGTGCAGGACCTGGCCTCAGGCCACTGTGTGGAGAGGACGCACGACAGGAGACCCTGGGAGGACGCAGGGGCACGTCCCCTGACCTTTCCTGCCCCGTCCCTGCCTGTGTACCCCACTGACAAATCGTTAGATGTGTTCTGGGTGCCGAAGGGGCCCAGGTGGCACTGTGTTTAAGCGCTCAGCTGCTAACCAACAGATCAGCAGTTTGAACCCACCAGCTGGTCCACGGGAAAAGGATGAGGCAGTCATTCAGCTTCCATACAGGATACAGCCTTGGAAACCCTCCAGGGCAGTCCCACTCTGTCCTCTAGGGGCGCTGTGGGTCAGAATTGACTCCACATCAGTGGGTGTGGTTTGGGCTTTGCTCCCATAAAGACTGACAGCCTTGAGAACCCTGTGGTGCAGTTCCACTCTGGCCTCTAGGGGCGCCGTGAGTCAGAATCGGCTCCAGGCAGTGGCTTTAGTTTGGGCTTTGCTTCTGTGAAGATTGACAGCCTTGGAAACCCTGTGGGGCAGTTCCACTCTGTCCTCTAGGGGCGCTGTGAGTCGGAATCAACTGGCAGCAGGTTTGGGTTTTCTTGTGCCTGGGAGTCCCTGGATGGAGCACTGGGACTTCAGGCTGCTGGCCAGCACCCAGGCCCTGAGGGCAGGGAATAGCTACAGTTGGCTGGTAACTGGAGGTGGAGGTGCAAGCCCACTTACACCACAGAAGAAACGCCTGGCTGTCCGCTTCAGAAAAATCAGCCATTGAACGCCCTGTGGAGCGGCTCCTCTCCCACACACGTGGGGCACCAGGAGTCGGAGCCGGCTGCACGGCAGGGCATCGGTTCTGTGTCCCCAGCTCTGGGCCAGGGGCTGCCCCTACCGCCTTCCCAGCCCTCCGAGGCCCAAGGAGGGGGTGACGGGGCTGCCGTTCCGTGCCGTGGAGGCAGTTCCCCCTCACAGTGACCCCACAGGACAGAGTAGAGCCCTAGAGTCTCTAGGTTGTAATCTGTGTGGAGACAGAGCTCCAGGTCAGCGCCTTGGTGGGTGTGAACCGCTGACCTTACAGTTAGCAGCCATCGCGCCACCAGCGTGCCCGGGAACTTGGAGGGGGTCCCTCTTTTCCAGCTGAGGACAGTTGTGGCTCAGGAGGGTGAGGTCAGAGCGAGCAGCAGCCCCAGCTTTGCACCCGCGTCTCCGCGGACCCCCTGGGCCTGCCATCCCTCACGTGGCCCTGCCGTCCCCAGGACCTGCTGGAGGACCACGGGCTGCTGGCTGGGGCCCAGGCCCCGAGGCCGGGGGACAGCCACGGCCGCCTGCGGGAGCGCCGGGAGCGCCAGGCGCTGCTGCAGCTAAAGCGTCAGCACGAGGAGGGCGGGGCGCGCAGGCGCAAGGTGCTGCGGCTGCGGGAGGAGCAGGAGGGCGGCTCCAGCGACGAGGACGCCGCCTCGGGCGGCCGGGCTGCCGGCCACGGCGTGGACATCCAGGTGGGCCGGGGCCGCCACCACAGAGGGGACACGGCCCTGCCCCGGGGGTCGGGGGGGACACGGCCCTGACCCGGGGGTCTGGGGAGACACGGCCCTGTCCTGGGGGTCTGAGGGGACACGGCCCTGCCCCGGGGGTCGGGGGGGACACGGCCCTGCCCTCACCTCAGGACACAGGGATCAGTGGACAGGCCCTGGCCCCCAGCAGGCTAAGACCCCCTTAGATAGGGGAGCAGTCCCCAGGAACCCCGCCTGCCTGTGTCCCCCCAGGACGTGAAGTTCAAGCTGCGGCACAACCTGGAGCAGCTGCAGGCAGCTGCCACCTCGGCGCAGGACCTGACGCGGGACCAGATGGCCCTGCTCGAGCTGGTGCTGGGCCGCGGCCTCTACCCGCAGCTGGCCGTCCCCGACCCCTTCAACAGTGGCCGCAAGGACTCCGACCAGGTGGCCCCTCCTTCCTGCCCCGTCCCTGTGTGTCTGTCCTTCAGCACACAGTCCCCCAGTGCCTGTCCTGTGCCCAGCTTGTGCTGGGGACATAGTGGTGACCAACATAGCTCTGGCCTCCAGGACAGTGGTGGGGACAAACTCATCTCCGGACAGAAAGCACCAGGTCTGAGATAGAGGAGCCCTGGGGGCTATGGGCGAGGTCAGGGAGGGCTTCAGGGAGGGCTTCCTGGAGGTGGAGGAAAGGTGGCCAGCAGCAGGAGGAACAGGTCCGGGGCCTCTCTTACCCGGAACCCACTTTGGTCTCCGCAGATATTCCACACTCAGACCAAGCAGGGCACCGTGTTGCACCCGACCTGCGTCTTTGCTAGCAGCCCCGAGGTGCTGCACGCACAGAAGCCAGAGAACGGGCCCGGGCCGGGGAGCCGAGGTACCCGAGCCCAGGGCTGGAGGGCTGGGCACCAGCCATGTCCAATCTCACTGCAGGGGAGGTGGGATCGTGGAGGCCGCTTTCCTCTCCAGTCTTGGGTCTCCTCCGTCTGCTGCTTTGCTAGGGCTTTCTGTGGCAGACCCCCAGCTGTCACGTCAGTTAGAAACGACCACCAGGACAGTCTGCACCCTTCCCGCAACGGTGTTACCGTTGCTGACAAAAAACAACTCCTTAGTACCCCCCCCCCGCCCCCGTTCACACTCGTCATGGCAAAGTCAAGCCATGGACGTTTTACCGAAACACACGTGAGCACAGTCTTCACCTGGATGTGTAAGTGGGAGGGGGGCGGTGGGGCGTGGGTCTGAGCCGTCCTCTCCGTCCAGGTGACAAGGACAAGGGCAGCAGCAGACACCAGCTGCTCGTCTTCGTCTCCCTGCTGGAGACCAACAAGCCGTACCTGGTGAACTGCGTCCGCATCCCCGCCCTGCAGGTGGGTGCCTGCCACACGGCCCCCTGGCTCCCAGCTGTGACAGCTGTGGGCCAGGCCACAACAGTGGGCCTGGAGGGCCACCTTCCACCGAGCTGAGCGCAGACCTGTCCGCGCGCGCGCGCACGTGTGTGTCCATCTTTGGGTTTTAGGGCTCTCTGAGAAACAGGACAAGATGTGTGTGTATAGATAGGGAGCGCTCAGCCGCTAACTGAAAGGTCGGTGGTTCGAACCTACCCAGTGGCTCCACAGGCCAGAGACCTGGTGATCTGCTCCCATAAAGACTGCAGTCTAGGAAACCCCGTCAGGTAGTTGTCCTGTCATCGGGGTCACTGTGAGTCGAAGATTGACTCTACAGCACCAGACAACATACATGAGAAGACAGGTTTTGAGGACTTGGCTCCTGTGATTGTGGGTGCTGGATGGATACATTGGATAGACGGGTGAATGACTAGATGGATGGGTGGGTG